AATGGCATGATTGCATTTTTAGTTAGAAATCTTTTTATTTATGAACACTCAAATAGTTTCGCAACGAAATTTATCTACACATTATGAGCATTTCTGATTTCGATTTGCAATCGATAGTTTGATGAGTGAATAATACTTTCAAAGAGTAATTAATCATCTTTGAAGATGTGAAATAAAAGAAAAAGTTCACTTTTGCACGAGAAGGCAGGACATAATCAAATGTTCTGTAATAGAGATATAGAGAAAAGAATAAGTAACAGAATAGATAAATGAAGGAATTGAGGAATAAGGGAATAGTGGAATAAAAGAATGAAGGAACAAGGACCGACCGACCGGAATATATTTTGTAGCGCTCCCTAAATATATTAGCATCCTCTTCGTTGGCGTATATATGAGTAGAACATAAAGGACTGGTCATCAGCTCTGATCAATTGATAGTGTTTATTTACTTTCATTATTTTATTTAGCTTGTTTTCATGTTATTAGTGAATGAGAAGCAATCTAGATATGTACCAATAATTCAATATTTTTATCCTGTAGAAACATTAATACAGATCGTGGTCCTTGTCCTTCTAGTAAATCATTCAGTCTTTTAAATTCAACGTGGTAATTTTTTTTTGAATGTGCAAACTTTCAATATATATATTTTTTTTTATAGATATTCGCTTTCTTTTGCTTACGATTAACTTTATTGGTTTTCAAATTATAAAAGTTACATAAAGGTAATGAAAACATTTTATTTTATTTATTATTTACTGGTCTTCACAAACTGTTGGCACTTTTTGTTATCACATACTTGAATCTTAATCATCTGCCTACTCAAAAATTATTATTTATGGTGATGGAAAAATGCAAATAAAAAAAAGGAACGATTTATAATAGTATAATTTAAACTGTACTAATATCTTTATTTAATCTTGTACCATTTGCCCCAAAGTGAAATGATTTTTTTTTGATTTATTAGGTATTTTACAATATCTGAAATGATTTCATAAATATTTTGATGAAACTATAAAACTTGTCTTTTATTCATTTCCAACATAAAACTTAATGATTTATTTGTTTTTTAGATTATAATCAATTTGCCGATGATGACCTGGCACAAAAATGCTTCATTATAATATCTTTCAAAATATTCATTTATGATGCAAGTGTATCCAAGTCTGACAGAAAAATAATATTTAAATTAATATACAAGATAGAATGAAACACCTCGAGAACTTGTCTCATTTTAAAGTTCAAAGTTTTTCAATACGCAACTCAGTTAATTTATGCACTAACTTGTTCCGGAATAGATACGGCTCTGTATGAATATTAGTCATAAGGAAAAATAATTTTAAAAATATAATTTTTTTCATAAGTGTCGACTACGTTCACATTAAACCGAATAAATAGAAAAAATTTCAAAGAAATACATGAGATATTTTTTGTAGTATTTTTTCTAATTATTTGGTTTAATGTGAACGTAGTCGAGACTTACGAAAAAAATTATGTTTTTAAAATTATTTTTCTTTATGTCTAATATTCATACAAAGCTGTATCTATTCCGGAACAAGTAAGTGAATAGATTAACTGAATTGTCTAGAAAAGACAGTTGCAAGACGCCAGTTAAGATTGGTGGAAATAATCCAATCAGGAGAATTTAAGACACGTCACTGTCTAAAATCGGTTATCCGTTGACACTTCAAGTGTCTTACTTAGACTTTCAGCAACCAATCAGAAATGAGTTCAAGTGTCTTAACTAAACGACAGAATCGTCTTGTTTATACACTTTATGTGTCTTGATTTTTTAGAGTGCAAAAGTCAGTTTTGCTCAATTAACATATCTCAGACAGACAGAGTGTGGGTGTAGATCTTCTCTTCACATCCACACCCACAGCCTAGCCGTATTTTTTTTTCTCTTTGAAAATGTGAGTGTAAAAGAAAAAGCGTAAAAAGAGGACTAGTACTTTGTTTTCAACTGTGGCCCGTACTTTCGTTATTTGTTTATTTTTTTTTTAATCAAATACTACATTATAAGAAGAAACTGACTACAGTTTTCTTTTATCTCTGAAGTGAAAGACGTACCTAAAAAGAAAATATAATCACATATACATGTCGAGAAATATGAACGAGTGTAGAAAAGTATAAAGAAGCATAAAGAAGTATAGAAGTCTGCTGTTTCCCCTTTGCAATTATCAAAAATCATCAACTTCGATCGATGTCAAATTTTTGTACTCGATTATTTCCATTATCACTCACATAGAGGTTTCCCTCTCGATCAAATGATAAACTGATGGGATAAGATAGTTGATTTGATTGACTTCCTTCATTATTTCCACCAAGAATAACACTTGCGTGTGTGCCTCCTTGAGACAAAAGTATTATTCGATGATTCCTATTGTCAGCCACATAGATAGTACCTGAGTGATCTACAACAACGCCTAAGGGATTTGATAAATGTGTATAACTATTTTTTTGATCTTGACCACCAGCCACAACAATACCATGTTTGGCACCTTCCATCCACTTCATCACACGTTTATTATTGTAATCCGATACGTAAACTGAATGATCTCGATCGACGAATACGTTTGTTGGATTAGACAACTGATCGAGACGATCTCCTTGCCCATTTCCACCCGCAACCACTTTTCCTTGATTTTCTCCCATTTGATACCGTCTGACTTCATGTTTATCATAATCAACAATATAGAGAAATCCATTATCGTCCATTGTCAAACTCAAGCATTCAACATTTGAGATGATCGTTTCTCCATTTGTACCATTTTGACGAGGCCATTGAACTATTCTCTTGTTATTAGAATCACAAATAATGAGGCTATCTCGTTCTCTATCAATAATCACATCTGTTGGATCACTCAACTGGTCAGAACGATTTCCTTGTCCATTTCCGCCGGCTACAACCCGACCAGTCGTCGTACCACATTTCCATTCGACAATGCGATGATTCGATCGGTCAGCAATGTAGATGGTTTTATCATCATCAACACATAAACCATATGGATAGTTAAGTTGATTTATTTCTCTACCGCATCCATTTCCTCCAGCAACAGTGACCCCATTCTGTACCCATTTGACACTCAGATTCAATTCCACATCGTGCAGTAATGGTGCTGAAAAAAAAAACTTTATTCCTTCATATCGGATCAGTTTACATAGATGAAAATCGAGATTTGAAGTAAAGAATTTTTGATCAAGAAAGAAAGAGAGGAAGAACAGTTTTATTCAATGATCATATTGAACAATGTGTCGATGGTAATCTCGTTGTTTTAATATTTTGTACAGGGTTAAGCCTGAAAGTTTCTATTGGAAGGTAATTAATACTCGAATCCCTAAAGTAGAGATCGAAAATTCTTTTAATCTCGCAATTGTTTTAACATGTTTCATCTTTCAAATTTTTTTCAAACAAAAACCATCAACTGAATATTTTCAACACTCGTGTGAAAGTGAAACTCAACTTAAGAACTATGGATATGATTTGAATGATGACATAGGACTTTTTTTTGAAGAATTAACGTTTAACACTTTAATAAACACTTAATAAAGTTTTCATGCAGTCTGATTTTCATAAAAGTAACCACATCAACATTTGGAATGTGACCAGAAAATATTTACCACAAACTAGATCAACTGTTTCTAATCATTCTGAATCTTACAGATGCGAGAATGATTTTGAAATACTTGAAACGAATATTCATCTAACAAATAAAGCTCACGACAGAGTCTTAAAATAATTCAGGTTTTTTTGCTCTCACCGAACGTCAGTTAAGAGATCAGGGAATCGAATTTCGATTTTCTAACAATGATTTTTCAAAGAAAGAAAAGATGAGCTTTTCTGTTCGACTATCGTAAGTCTTGATGCAATAAGTATTGATTACTTTGTCGTTTCAGATCGAAACATCGTTTTCTTTCATGACGAGATTAACTTAAAAGAATTTGAACATGTCAGATGATCTGCTTATTTTACTTGAATCTTCTCAAACGCATCAAATTCAAGTCATCAAAGCTGAAAGGAATCATTTCTCTACCTATTCTATATACACTCGTTAGGGGTAATTCGGATCAAAAATTAGAAAATCGATTTTGTTTTTATTCGCTCTCAATCATTGTACGTCGTAACAAGGTGATTTTTGGAGTGCTACTAGAACAAACTGTTTT